TTATATCTTATATAAAAAGTAACTCAAAGATCAAAATGTAAGTACTTCAACTATAAAACTTCTAAAGGAAAACACAAAAGATTATCTTAGTGAACCTGGGTTTGGTAAAGATTTAATTAAATAATAAAAAAAAGAAGCTAAGAAAGAAAAAAGTTAGACTTCAAAAAAATTAAAAACCTTTGTTCTATGGAGAATATAGTCAATGATTCTGTAACATCTTCCTACGTTGACAGTCACCATACTAGTGAGGGAGGATTTAATAACGTGGGTAACTGGTGAACCACTGTGCTGTGTACTTGAAACCAACTAGGACTGTATATCAATTATACTTCAGTGAAGAAAAACAAACTTTTGCTCTGCAAATACAGTATTAAAATGAAAATGGAAGCCACAGATTGGGAGAAAATATTTAAAAACAATATCCAAGCAAAACATATGTATACATATAAATATATGTAATATGAATGTATAAAGAACTCTAAATTCAGTAACAAGCCAATTAAAAAGTAGGCAAAAGATTATACAAATAATTCACCAAAGAAGATATATAGATGGCAAGTACATGACAGAAGATCATTAGTCATTACAGAAATGCACATTAAGGACACCACCAATAGAACAAAAAGGCATCCTACAGTATGGGAGAATATATTCATAAATGACAGATGCAATAAAGGGTTGACATCCAAAATATCTAAAGAGCTCATGCACCTCAACAAACAAAAAGCGAACAATCCAATTAAAAAATGGGCAGAGGAGATGAACAGACACTCCTCCAAAGAAGAAATTCAGATGGCCAACAGACACATGAAAAGATGCTCCACATCGCTAGTCATCAGAGAAATGCAAATTAAAACCAAAGTGAGATATCACCTCACACCAATAAGGTTCGCCACCATCCAAAAGACAAACAACATGTTGGCGAGGTTGTGGAGAAAGGGGAACCTTCCTACACTGCTGGTGGGAATGTAAACTATTTCAACCATTGTGGAAAGCTGTATGGAGGTTCCTCAAAAAGCTCAAAATAGAAACATCATTTGACCCAGGAATTCCACTTCTAGGAATTTACCCTAAGAATGCAGCAGCCCAGTTTGAAAAAGACATATGCACCCCTATGTTTATCGCAGCACTATTTACAATAGCCAAGAATTGGAAGCAATCTAAGTGTCCATCAGTAGAGGAATGGATAAAGATGTGATACATACACACAATGGAATATTATTCAGCCTTAAGAAGAAAACAAATCCTATCTACCATTTGCAACAACATGGATGGAGCTAGAGGGTATTATGCTCAGTGAAATAAGCCAGGCCAGATGACTGGGGACTTTGGGTGTAGGTCCATCAGCTGTAACAGTGTACCACTGGGGCAGGATGCTGATGGTGGGGGAGGCTGTGTGTGTGTGTGGCTGTGTGGGGCAGGGAGTATGTGGGAAAAACTCTGTTACTGTGGTAAAACATACATAACACTTATTGTTTAAACCATTTCTAAGTGTACAGCTCAGTGGCATTAGTAAGTTCACTTTACTGTGCAACCATCACCACCACCGACTTCCAGGCTCTTTCATCACCCCAAACTAAAACCCTTCTCCACTCGATGCTGCTGTGAAACTAAAACCGCTCTAAATAACAAAGCCTATTAATTTAAAAAAAAGAAGGGAACATGAACCTACACGGACAAGAAAGAAGGTAACAGCAACAATATTTTGGAAGCTAGAAATCAGGTAAACAGAAAATAACTTAGATTGGAGAGAAAAGTCATACTACTAACAATAAGCATACTTGGATCCATTCATAGTTGATAAAATTTCTAATGAAACTACAAAAAGATACACTTCTTCATTTAGCTTGAACAAAATGAAAGATTTGCACAATTTCCAAGAAAACTCTCTTTTCAGTACCCATGCTCTGCTGGCTTTCCTCGTAGCTCTCTGGTCCTTCTGTTGGTTGGATATTCTGGCCAACACTTAAATGTAAAGGTTCTTCAAGACTCAGACTATACGCTAAGTGACTTAATGCACACTTTTGACATCAATTAAGAGTTATCGAAGTTGGTATCTCCAGTTAGGATGCCTTCTGCATTCTTGCCCAGTATGGTCAACTGCTAGCTTGGGATTTTCATATGACGTCTCAGCACCACTCAAATTCAGTGTCCCCCAAACTAACTCATGACACACCCAGCACTCCTCCATAGCAGGTCCCACGTCAGCATCCCAACACCCGCGGTCTGCATCCTCTCCTGGGTATTTGCTTAAGATAGAAACTTAAAAGTCATATTGATCACCAAAACTCAACTTTCTACATCATTTTAGGACCCTCCAGTTGTCTTCACTCCCTGCACCACTTCCCAATCCATAACACCCTCACCTTTCTTCGGAGTTACCATCAATTCCATTCCACCTGATTACTGCCCCCCTATAAGGTCTCTTCCAACTCATTTTATATCTGTAGCCAGAATATTTTCAAAATGTAAATTGACCCTGTTGGCCCTCTTTCCCCACTTACACCCCTGCAATTGCTTCTCTTTGGAATAGAGTCACGAGGCCCCACTTGGTCTGGCTCCATCCCCATTCTGGACCATGTTTCCCCTCTCTAGTAGCCACTCAGACCCTCCTTCTTGCCCTAATAGTGTTCCCCCCATTCCATCAGCCTATAATACTTCTGTATATGCTCTTCCCTCTGCTAAGAAATCTGTACTAGTGTTCTTTCAGATTTAATTCATATTTACTTACTCAGGGAAAATGTTCATGACTTCCTTAAATTAAATATGGCTCTTTACAGACTTTTATAACACTGTGTACTTCTCCTCTACAGCACTTGTTATAGCAGTAATTTTGTTTTCGTGGTTTTTAAAATCTGTTCTTCCCCAGTTTATAAACTCCCTGAAGGTAATTACCCTGTGGGTTGTGGCTTACCCTTGTATCACTGCTGGACACAAAACAGCCATTCAATAAATATCAAACAAAGGAGGAATTGAACTTCCTTCCTTGAAGCTATCCATATTACACAATTATTTAAAATAGATAATATGCAATAATACGTATGAATCTCACAGACATTATGTTGCGTGAAAGAGGTCAAACACAAAAGAATGCATATTATATGATTCCATTTATAGAATATTCCAGAACAGGCAAAACTAATTAATGGTGTGTAAGTCAGAACCATGGCCACCTCTGGAGCAAGGTGTACTGATAAGGGAGGGCCAAGGAGACTATCGGGGGGACTGGAAATGTTACATATTTCAATCTCGGTGGTGGTTACACTGATGTATATATACACACACACACACACACACACACACACACACACACACACACATATACATACACACAACAAACTCATCACTCTTTTTTGTATGCTTTTATGTATGTGTTATAACTCAACAAAAGGAAAAAAGGAAGGCATTTGGAAAGAAAAACAGTAAAAAACTAAGTAGTAATGAGAAATGTACCCACCAGATTGTGGTAAATTAAAATGACACTTTGAAAAACATAATATATACTATGATCTTGGTTTAGTGAGACAATACACACATAGTCCTTCTTCTGGCTTCTGTGATAGAAATCCTACTCAAACTAACTTAGGCAAAAAATTCATTTACTGACACATACCTGGGAAGCTCACTTAGCTTCAGTGAAACTCTCTAGACCATTTGAAGACTAAAAATTATTAGGGCACCACTCAGAGTTGACCATGAAAATCACAAGATCACTCGGAGTGCTAGAACCAGGGCTGGTCAGGTTCCAAATGAGCCTCCTCAAACTCCATCAGTAAGTCCATGTGCCTGTGTAACTGGAGAGATGTCCCATCTAAGTTACAGGGGAAAAAAATGACAGCAAGCTCTAGTTCTCAGGCATGAGTCCCTAACCCTAACGCACACAGATAATGTCTGAGATGCAGGTATCTGAGCTGCTTGTCAGGTGGGCAACTGTACATAGCTCACTGCAAAGTGAGAAAAACAACAATTCATTTAATGATGACACTGATTCTCAGCAGAAGTGGAGAAATCCAAGCTGCTCACATGCAAATCTTTTAATATCATGAGGCTGACAAGTGCTCAGGGCTTCAAAACACAAAAAGTATCCCCCAAATCACACCAAACCTAATGACTTCTTAAATTCACAGGTACTGCTTTTGTGAAAACTGCCTATAGCAAAAGTTGAAGAGAGCCATACAGTATCAGTTTTACTATTATATTCTCCAAGTACTTAGAATAAAAGAATCTGGTACATTTTATATGTCCCAAACAACCGTTTCATTCCCTTAGTTATCCTGTAGACATGAGTACCTATGACACAGACTGAAACATGATAAACTGATGGTATTCAACCATTTTTTACCTCCAAAGAAGGGCATTTTCCTATGGTTCAGCAAAAAAAAACAAACATTGCCCTAGGTGATAGGCGCCAACAGTGAGAGGAACAAACTCCCCGCCTCTGTGAGGAGCTGACATTGCTTCTGTGTACAGCCACGTGTGCGACTGCAGATGGGTGGTGGGTGAGCAGCAGGTAACAAGCAAGCAAATACATTATCAGGCAATGTTACATACTTCAGAGAAGGACACAAAAGGTTCACAGGGATACAGAGCACAGGGGAATGGTTGTTGCTTGTTGTATATGCATGGTCAGTGAAGGCCTCGCTGATACATTTGAGCAAAATACCAAAGAAAGAGGGAGCAAGTCTCTTGAACTTTTCTACAGTGGCAAAATCTGTCACTAACATGAACATTTCTGCCAAGCTGACACCAAAAAACACAAAAGGAAATAATTCTGCTAATACCACTGGAGTATTACGACAATTACAGCCCTAACTAAACTTAAAGCCAGTCAATCTGTATCTAAAGAAGTACATGCCCCCCAGAATCACCACTGATGCTTACAGCTCTTATTTTACATGCAGAATGCATTTCACATAAGCACTTCTGTTTGGTCCATGTTTTCTACCTAATAAATATCCACATATATGAATATACAGAAAGATAAAGCAATTTATTCTTACATCTTTTGAAGAACCTGGGCCATCACAACCCCATTCGTTAAATCTTCCACAGTCTGGCATGGTGCATCCACATTAAATGTCTGGATCTGGCAAAAAGAAAAAAGGGAAAAAAAGAATCCATGGTTAATTACATAGATTTCTTGGGCTTTTTTATTTTTGTGATTACCTCAGTTTGGGAGTTGGATTAAGTTCTAAAAAGCGGAATATCTGGAAATTTGTTCCCCTATGGGGCATTTCCTGCAAGTTATTATTGTAATTTTTTCCCTTTGGTAAAAGAGAAATTGTGGTGGATACTGGGTGACTCCCAGCAGCCATTCTCCCCACAGATGATCAAAGAAAGTCATGGTACCTTCATGTCCTCTTCTGGTGACTGACCCAGATGCACAGGGCAAAAACAACTTGGACAGAAGAGATGCAAGGAGATGCTTACTTAAGCTTTTGGGAAAGAGAGCCAATCTCCTCTTGATGTGAGCAAGTATGCTAGCTCCAGCACCGCTAGCAGGTTGTCCTACGGCTACTAGCAGATCTGTTTTAGGAGGAGACCAGTGCAGTGTACAACAGAGAAGAGGGGTGAAAGAACTGGACCCTGGAAGCCAAAACGGAGGCACTGAATCAAAAAACCTTGAAGCCTCTATTATGTGAGATAAGTTTAGTTAAGCCTGGCTAGGTTGAGATTTTTTATTCAGAGCCAAAGTATCTTTACCCAGATGTAGAAGTCACACTTACTGAAGTTAAGTAAGATACTCAACTCATTTTTATTTTAAATGTATTCTGAATTAGAACAAACTTTGTACTGTTCAACATAATGTGGCCAAAAAATAGCAGAAATTATTTCTCTGAGTAAGATAATACAACTAAGCCAACAGTGATGACACCAGTAGTGCAACCATAAATCACTGAGAACAGATAGATGCCAGCCATGCTCTCACACAGTTCATAGGTTAGAAAGAGTGTCACAGGGAGTGTAAACAACAAGCACAAAGATTAGAAGTGAGAGTGGGATGCAATCTAGGACTGAAAAGCAGCTTGGTGTGGTCTGAGGGTGAGGGAATCGGAGGAAGAGATCAACAGGGAAAAGAGTAAACAGGTTAAGGACAGGTTAAAGAAGGAAGCATTACCGTGCAAAGCCTCCTAAGACACATTAGGACCTTATCCTAAGAGCAGTGAGGATTCTGAGCAGGAGTAGGCCACGGGCTCTGCACTGTATAAAATCATCCTGGCTGGAGGACTGGAGGGAAAGGGGCACGGAGACCTATTTAACCAGGTTTATACATTAACATAGATGAAGTCAAACTAGGTAGTGACAATGGAAATACCGGGAATAATGTTCTGGTGACCATCTGTCTTTTTTTTGTATCATTAATATACAATTACATGAGCAACACTGTGGTTATTAGGTTCCTCCCATTATCAACTCCCTACCATATAACCCAATAAGTCACTGTCCATCAGCATAGCAAGATGCCTTAGAGTCACTACTTGTCTTCTCTGTGCTATACTACCTCCCCTGTGCCCCCACCTATGTTATGTGTGCTAATTGTAATATACCACTTATCCCTCCCTTCCCACCCATCCTCCCCAGTCTCTTTCCCTTTGGTAACTGTTAGTCCATTCTTGGGTTCTGTGAGTCTGCTACTGTTTTGTTCCTTCAGTTTTTGCTCTTTTCTTATGCTCCACAGATGAGTAAAATCATTTGGTACTTGTCTTTTTCCTCCTGGCTTATTTCACTGAGCATAATACGCTCTAGCTCCATCCATGCTGTTGCCAATGATAGGATTTGTTTTCTTCTTATGGCTGAATAATATTCCGTTGTGTATATGTACCATATCTTCTTCATCCATTCATCTACTCATGGACACTTAGGTTGCTTCCATTTCTTGGCTATTGTAAATAGTGCTGTGATAAACATAGGAATGCATATGGCTTGACCATCTGTCTTTAAACACATTTTTATTTATTAAGTTATATTCTTGTATGTAGAATTACTGGGTGAGAGCATATACACATATCACGGCTTTTGATAAATAATGCCAAGCTGTCCTCAATAAATGCTGTTGCAATTTACTCCCTTACTAACAGTGGGTGAATGTCCACTTTTTTATACTGTATCCTCTATCAAAACTTAAGGAACTATTAACAAGTACAGTCAGTAGCTTCTTCCTACTTTCCATATAGGGGAGTCCTATGGGTAGTGGTGTTACAGTGGTAGAAACTACTCCATACTATCTCTACCTGTCTCCTCAATGGTACTGTGGTAATAACAATGTAGTTTAAAAAAGAAATAAATACCTGCTTTTGTTTTGAAGTTGCTAAATCAATATTTCTTGTAGGCTTGTTTAGAATGAAAGAGGTGGAAGTGAGGGTCCTGCCTCATTTATCTTTGTAGCACTAACCTTAGCACAGCGCCTGGTACAGAATCAGCCTCAGTAAATGTGCTCTGAATGCAATGAAATAATTTGATCCCCAGCTTTGCTCCTAACTTGCTGTGTGAACTTGGATGTACCACTTTACCTCTCTTAATATCAGTTTTTCTATCTACCACTTGGGAAAAATACCTTATGCAGGGGTGTTAAAGAATGAATAAGAAAATAAACATACATTATGTATTTTGAGAACTCTAAAAGCAGTGGTTTTCAAACCTGGGGGTTCATCATAATCACTAGGAAGTTGGAGAAGCCTGGGAATCCATTTTTTACAAGGTCATTCAGTAATTCTTAGGCACTGGGGCACTGGTTTGGCATTTGGAACCCTCTGAGCCAAAGCACCACTGAATGTAAGGAGTGAAAAACAGAAAACTGCCTCCGGCCAGTCAGAAAAAAACAACTCAATGAAGTAGGTAATTCAGAAATGCAAGTAATTTAGTTCTAAGACTGTTTCTCTCTTCAGGCTTAAAAAAAGCCTGTTTTCATTTTTTAAATGTGGCTTCCAAACAATTACTTCCTCTGTACTGGCTCTGGAGGTAGATGGTTGCGCATGAGGGCTAGAGGACTCTGCCTCTGCTTTGAGATAAAAGTAAAAGCAGATCCTAAAGATACTCTGTGGAGTTTCCTCTGGGGTGATAAAAATGTTCTTGGAATTAGTGGTGATGATTATACAACCTTGTGGTCATACTACAAAACAACTGAACTGTACACTTTAAAAGAATGAATTTTATGATATGTGAATTCTATTTTAATTTTTTTTTAAGGCTATCACTTACCAGTTCTCATAAACCCTGAGTTAACATCTTTGGGATACCTCAGGAGAGCAGAACTGCAAAGTTGAAAGATAACTGCACCTCAATGCACAAAATTCTACTCAAAAGGTCATAACCTCTAATTCCAAGAAGCCCTATTCACTTTCCCCAACAAAAGCATGAGATGATCTGGAATTAGTATCTCTAGAGCAGCAGTTCTCAGCCAGGGGCAATTTTGCTACCTACCAGACATCTGGTTGTGACTAGATGGTTGCTACTGGCATCTGGTAGGCTGAAGCCTAGGATGCCACTATTAAATGTCCCAAATGCACTGGGCAGTGCCCACAACAAAGGACTCATCCTGTCCAAAATGTCAATAATGCTAACTAGCCCTGCTCTAGAGCAGTGGTTCTCAAAGTGTGGATCCCAGGCCACAAACAATGGCATCACCTGGAAACTTGTTAGAAATGCAGAACCTCAGGCTCCAGCTCAGACCTAATGAACTGCAAACTCTGGACATGGGCCCTGGCAATCAGTGTTTTAACAAGCTCCTCAATGATGCTGATCAACATAAAGCGTAAGAATCACTTCTGTACTGTTACACCAAATGCAATCAAAACATGGAAGTGAAGTTTCTTGTCCAAAGTCAACAGTTAGTATGAAACAAAACCAGGATGTGAACCCAGGTGGTCTAATAATGTCAACACCTATGCTACTGTGTCATACTGACCCTTGATTTAAAAAAAAAAAGAAAATTAAAGCTTTAAAAAAAATGTGTATAAATAAGTAACCGGGATGTAATGTATAGCATAAGGAATATAGTCAAAATATTGTAACAACTTGGTATGGTGATAGCTGGTACCTAGAATTATCATGTATATAAATTTTCAATCACTGTGTTGTACACCTGAAACTAATGTAATACTGTGTGTCAACTACCCTTCAATAAAAATAATTATCTAAAAAAATTTTTTTTAAATGTGTGCTTGAACTTTTGTACATCTGATTTCTTTACTTCTCCATTGAGGACAAAAATTGTTGGCAGAATAGAGTTAGAGCAGAGAGAATGGAATGGGGATGATACCATAAAAATTATACCCTGCCTAATTCTTTCACTAGTATGCATTTTATAAGTTTTTAAATAAATAGTATAAAAATTATAAGAATATGTTCTTGTTGCTGCATTTCCCAGAAGAAATGAACTGAGCCTATGTGATAATTCTTTCCACTTAGCTTCTTGCCATTAACTGGCAGCATTCCAGATTCTTTCTGGTTTTTCAGTCTCTAAAACCTAGGAAAGAGCAGTCTTTTCATATACAGTTTAAGAAATTAGGCTTGATAGCTGTAATAGGCAGGACAGGTTTTTTTCTAACAGATAAGAATACATTTTGACTCAGAGGGTGGGGAGAGGAGGGAGAGTGGAAATTTTCAGGCACTTCCAGCTGAACTTGCTTACTGCATAAGCTTCGATTTGGAATTTAAGCGTAAGATATTTTCCACTGGTAGATATTTGGTCTTTTCGTAAGTATTTCTCTTACCAACAAAATCTGGAACATTTGGCTCTTGGGCTAGTAGGCTCTCTGATACAACAGCAATTTATCCAGCATTTGGGACAATGAGGTACTCCACAGAAATGAATTCTGCATAGATGACTGTAACAGTCATCCCTTTAAATGCCTGAGCCTTCATTATTTTAACCATTGCTAATGGAAGAATTTCTAAAATGTACTCTATACACCTCTTATCTCAAACTAAATGCTATGTAGTGAAAATAACTTTTACTTGATATTCAGGATTATAATTCTCCTCTTGGGTGATTGAACATGGGGACTCTAGAAGAATATAGGCCTGTCAGCTCAAAGACTCAATTGCCTAGGATGTACATGCAGTTCCTGGTCTTCTTTGTCACTGAGGGCTGTCTGGAGCTGGCTGACTGTTGCACTTACCTCCTAACCTGCTGTGTGCAGAGAAACCACATAACCAAGTTAGCTAGGAGTTTACATAAAACATGGTAAATTATTCTCAATGGGAGTCTTCTCTTTGGAGTGGACTGTATACATTTCCACTGTTTTGGGGAATTGTGTTTGGCACTAATCTGGCCTCTGGGTGTGAGGGGAGCTACAGACTAAACATGCATTTTCAGTAACCTCAAACATTTTCCACAGAAACATTTACTCTTCTTTTATAATGACAACCAAAAGAGAACAAACCCAGCATTTAAACTCTACTTTACTTTGAAACATTCCAACTTGCAATGTTTAAAAATGTTTTCAAATCTTAGGACCTCCTGCATCTTTGTGTGGACTCTGCCCTCCAGTTTTCTCATTAGTGATCTCTAATCTTCTCCAGAAATTTTCTTTAATGAGCTTTCCAATGTTATTTCCAAAAGCCTTTTCTACAATACCATATTCTACAACCTTTCTCTGTATCTAATAATCCGGATTATCTGTTTTCTTGACATTTACCAGATTCTGAGTAGAGGTTCTCATATTGTGTGCTACTGTCAGTATACCATCAAACTTCACTGATTCTTCCTCTATATTTTTATTAGCATCTCTCACTCAAATAATTACATTACCATCTTTTTGTAGATGCTCTTCAAATACACTTCTTTGTTTCCACGACTTGTCTTCTAGACTTTAAACAATATAGCCCTATTTCAGATTCAATTAGCTTCCTCTTCTTTGCCCTCTTGCCTCTTTTTCTAGCATTAAGGGAGGCACTACTTGTACAGATTCAGAAAAACACACGGTAAGACCCCCCAATCTTCTGTTAACAACCTCTGCCAAATCTATTCCTTCCACCGTATCAAAGAATGTGGCAACTCTTTCCTTTCTCTCTCCACTGCTTCGGCCACATTATGCAGTTTATCAGTTTTTCTAAACCCATCTCCCTGCGTTAAGCTGGAACCTGATAAGAATTGTAAGGTGTGTGTTAACTATGTATTATTGCAAACAATCATAAGTCCCCAAAATGGCCTAATAGACAAGTGACTGAATGCATCAAGCTCTCCCACTGTATATATTCTGTTGCGGTAGGCAACTTTTGAGACCTGACAGAAACCAAATTACGAAAACCTCAGACTATTTTCATTGTACTTGTTACATCCAACCTAAGGCAATGCTTCTCTAACCTTTCCATCTAAGTGGCCCCCCCTCCCCCCGAGGAGAGTGTCGGCTACACTACAGGGATCTGAACTCATAACCCATGGTACCGCTGAACAAACAGAATGTCTTTGATATCTGTGTTTTACCTTTAACACTAATACAAATGCTGTACTCACCTCCATGAATGTATTAGTGTTTCATCCTAGAAATGACACTTCACATTTTTAGCAACGAGTAAAACGAACGCTCGAAAGCATTAGGTTTATCCCGAGTTTCTGCAGACCTCTAGGCGCGCGCGCGCACACACGCACACACCAAGAACTGACACCACAGCTCGAGAAACACATAGCATGCATTTTTTTGTCCTGCTCTTGAAGAGGCTGCTAAAGGCACGATGGTTAGCATTAGAATTGAATACATATTTACTTTAAAACATCAGAGGTAAGCGTTTAACAATTTAAAATGGGAATCCCACAACGTTGCCCCAAAATGTCGAGTCCCATTAGTGATTCCCAAACACTTTCCGGTTTATTCTCTCCTTTAACACGTTTAATCAGTACCTCCACACCGCCTCCTTTCTAAGCGCTCAAGTGCATCTCGCCTTTTAAACACCCCTTCTCTGGGCGCCTCTCCGCGTGCCGCCCGCGCTCCCTCAGAAGTCGGCCTCGTCCTTCCGTGGGCACCGCGGCCTCGGGACGGCACAACAAAGGCGCCGAGCGCGGCGCAGGGTCCGGCCTCCCGGCCGCGCGGGCACCCAGCGCGCGGGCGTCCGCGGAGGGCGAGGCGCAGCACCGGCGCCTCACCCGCTGAGACAGCAAGCCTACCCACCGCGCCGCCGCCCCCGCGCCGAGCCTCCAGCCGCCGGCTCCCCTAGAACGCGGCAAACACAGCCCCGAGTGCCCCCGGGTCGCCCCGGCGCCCCCGCTACGCCCGCACCAGGCCCCGGATGTGACGGCACCGCGGCCCTCGGCGCTCGCCCCCCGCGGACGGCGTGGGGGATCCCGGAAAGGCGGCCTGGGGGAAGGGGCTCCCCGCGACCCGCCGGCCAGCGCATACCCAAGTGAGAAGGCTCTCGCACAGCTCCACCCGCTCCACCGACTCCACGTTGAACATCTTCCCCTGCTGGGCTTGACAGCGCCTGCTCGCCTCGCCGGGAACCGCTGCCGCTCGCTCCGGGGCTGCGTCGGAGGGTCCGGGCGGCCGATGTGGCCTCTTGCGCACCGTCTTCTCGGCCCGGGCCGCCGACTCTCGCCCTAGCGATGCCAGCGGCTCCCGCACAGTCACCCCGCCGCCCCTCCTTCTTTCAGTCGGGACCGCGCGCCCACCGCGCGCGCTCCCGGCCACTCCCGCCGCCCGCGTCCCCGCCCCGCCCCGCCCCTCCGGGGAGCCCGGCCCTGGCCCGCGCCGCGGCCGCAGAGCCTCTGCGCGCGTTCACGCTCGGGCCGGTCCGCCCCTGCGTGGGGAGCGCGCGCGCGCCCGGCCGTGGCGGCGGCGGCGGCAGCAGCAGCAGCAGCGGCGGGACGCCCGTTGGCCGCCAGCGCACCCTCACGGAAGCTCGGCAGTGCGCGTGCGCCTGTGCCCGACTCCAAATTAAAAAAGAGACAGCTAGAGGTTGCCCGGGAGGGGTGGCGGGGGCAGTCCCCGGAAATAACCTCTGTTCTCAGGCACCGAGAACTGGCGAAGTATCCTCTGCTGTGGAGAGGTACGCGCCCCCAACCCCTTCCCTGCCGCCGCGCCGCGGCCGGCCACGCCCACCTGGATCCGGCCCGCGGGAGCTGCTGGCGGGCGGGGCGCGGCGCAAGCGCGGCTGCCCAAGATCGCGTCAGGGCTGCCTACGCTCTTCGCGCTGGGTGCTCGCCGCCTGGGACTCCAGGCGCCGCCCCGCCTCAGGAAGCCCGACCTGAGCCCCAGGGTCGCCTGGCTGCGTCCGGAACCCCCCGGAGACGGCGGAGGGGCCGACGTGGCGGGCGTCCGGGTGTTCAGGTGGGCTTGGCGGGCGACGAAAGCCCGTCGGGCGTGCGCGGGTGGCTGGCAGCCTCGCCTTCTTGACAACTTGAGCTGCTTAAAGTAAGGAGAGGGTGTGCGAGTTCCCATCCCGAGGACCCCACGTTCCTAGGCCTGTTCTAGTCGCGCCAAGAGCTGGCCTTCTTCCTTTTCCTTAATGGCGAGGTGCCCGCGAGCCCTCACGTTTTTAGAGGCGCACAACTCTCCAGGTTACCAGTACGTCTTCCTGCGATGTTAACATATGCAGGAAAGTGCATGCAACGTGCATGTTTAAAGAATAATTAATAATAAAACACCCCGATAATAACATTGCAGGTTCGGGGTTCCACCCACCTCGTGTACCTTTCTGAGCACAACTTCCCTAGACTGACTTTTGCTTCCTTTCCCTAAATAACTTTACTACCTGCGTGTGCATGCCTAAACAATTTTAACTGAGCATTTTTGAACGTTTATAAGTGAAACCGTAATTGTTACTTTGAAGCTTTGTGTATACCCAGAGGTCATTTTCATCGCTGCCTAGTGTTCCATTACGTGACTGTCTGTATCTGTGCTACTGTTGATGAACTTGTTGTTCCAGTTTGGGGCTACGAAGAACGATGTTATAAGCATTCTTACACCTGGATGCTAGTGCGAATGTGTGAGTTTCTTTAGGATACATGTCTAGGAGTCTTAGGAGTATTGTTGGGTTATGCCTAACTTTACCAGATAAGGCAAAACTTTTATTTGGGGTGCAGCAAAGTTAACTTGCCAAGACACATCTTTGCTTTGGTTTGCAATTCCTGAAGCCCCCCACACCACGGCCCGCCTTTTCCCATTAAGAACAGGTTTTGTCATTGAGCATTTAACCCAAGACTGCACTGAGTTTTTAATGAGGCCTTACAGAGCACCAGTTAACAGCTCAGTTCGCACAGGATGATTTATCATTTTGTAAATGAAAAAAAAAATACGTGCTGTCTTTCAGCGGCCTTTTAAACATTATTCTCTACAACAAGGGTAGAGAAACATTTAGAAATGATGAATATGTATCTCACCTGACTTTGTTGGTGCCCCAGGATCTTTGTCAAACCAGAGTTCCTACATTCCACACTAGGTTGTTTCTGTCTTAGAATCCCTAGCATTAATTGACCATTACCCTTGTTAGGCGTGCAAAGTCAGTAAGTATATGTTACATTGACTTAAGTGTGACTCACTTGAAACTTGGCTTTGGATGTGGAGGAGAATACGATGCTAGTCTTTTCTGGAGGGTTGTGGTGTCGTGAACCCCTTTACTCCAGCTGCTCAGGTTTCCAGGCTTTAACACACTTGACCTAAGCCACCTTTTTCAGGCTTTACTGCTATCCACAGTACATTTGTGCATGGTATTTGCAGTGTTCTGGAGGTTTCCTTTGTAGTTCCCATTACCCTCAAGAAAGGAAATGATATTAAAAGTGTGGATGTGAATAATTGTCTGCAGAACCATGTGGCCATCATGTTTCTACGTGAGCTTGGGTAAAAAGACAGTGAGTTTCTCTTTTGGAAGTTTTGGGATTTCTTATATTTCCCATATCTTTCCATGTGTGTGTGTTTTGTTTTTGTGTTCTGATAGCTTTGGAAGAAGCCAAGGAGAGGTGAGTGCATCTTGTCTTAGCTGTATGGTTCCTCTGGTTACTTGGAGGCTAGTTCTCGTCTACAGCTGTTTATCAAATTCAAGTAAACATGGTGGTGTCCTGCATAGTATTGTTTCCAAGTTTATTCTGTCTTCCCAAGGATTACATATTTAGAGCTTTGATTACAGAGTTTGAGACACTACATTAGTACAGCTCTAGGGGAGGCATGGCCAAGTTTTGTCATGGCTCTTGCGGTTGTTAATAACAGTAATCAAAATATTATAGCTTCCATTTACTGAGAACCTATATGCCAAGCAATATGCTAAATGCTTTACCTTCATTATTCCATTATGAATTCCACAAAACAAGGTGCTTTTTTTTTGGCCAAAAAAGTGGCTGTTTGGTATGGATCAAATTAATTATATGTATTTTACATGTGAGGAAACTGAGACTTAGACTTTACCTAAGTATACAGTTGTTCTGGCTCCAAAGCTTATGCTTCAATATATTAAGCTACTCCTTAATAAGACCTAGCCAATCAATAACAAAGTCAAAGCTATAAACTAGTTCCTGTTCAGGCTTCTATCAGTTACACCCCACAGTTTCCAAAATCTACAGTGTTTTGTTTCTGTAATTCTCAAGTACAGATGATCCTCGAACAACGTGGGGGTTAGGGGCACTGACCCCTGAGCAATAAAAAATCTGCCTGTAATTTTGACTCCCCCAAAACTTAATTACTAATCGCCTTCATTGATTTTACGGTAGTACATGGTAAAGAAGACTGTATGTTTATGCATTCATGACATACCTAGCTTTTCTTCATTTGTCCAGTATTTCTAAGCTATATTATGGTTCACCTGTTTTTTCAAACTGAGATCTCCAAAATTTTTCCCAATATATTCATTAAAAAAAATCCACATATAAGTGAACCTGTGCAGTTCAAAACCCATGTTGGTCAAGGGTCAACTGTAGTGATAACAGTACAAGTAACTCTTATTTTCATGCTTGACAAGATCCTATGAAATAGATCAGATACTGTGTTATATAAATTTAACAACCTTATGTCTGGGTTTCAAGTAGGCAGCATTTAGTGGCCCCTACAAGTAATATTCCCTATGCACTGCTCAAGGGAATAAAATGTGAATTTGGGTGCCTCCCAATGTCCTTCACTGAGATCTTTAGAAGGCACCATCAGGAAAGTGGGTGACTAGGCTGGTAGGTAAGAATGGGACTGCAGACAGAAGTTTTAAATCTTTGACACTGACGCCTAATATTCGTCTCCCAAGGGATGAAGCAGGCACTGGCCTTTCTTTTTATTGTTTAAGTAATACATACTTGAAAAGAATTCAGACTATAGAACTGTATCCTGGGAAAGATAAAGGTCTGGTGTTCCCAGTCCTGCTCTCCACTTGTAACCACTTTAACTATTGGTATTTATCTTTCTCTTTTTCCTATTCCAAAATCACTCAGAATTTAAGAAATGTAGCTGTGGAAGGAACTTAAATCCTCAAGTCCAGCATTTACATTTTGCAGAAAATGACAGGTCCTTAGAGATTTAAGTGGGGTCACAGTTGTGGTAGCAGAATTGGAACTAAAACCCAGGGCTATTAATGGCCAAGCAGCAATGGTTTGGCTTGAGTTGAGAGCCTGTGCTATTGGACAAAATCCACAGCAGCTTTTGGCTCTAGACAACCTGACTGTGAAAAGCAAAAGTTGTAGAACTGAAGTTCAGATTGACTTTGGAATTCGTTTCAGGTTTGAGGTGTTATATGTCTTCTCCTCAAGTAGAATATTTTAATTCCTTTTTTATTGTTTATCCCCTGTAATCTTAGATCAGTTTCTTTCCAAAATTGAGGTGGTATAATAATACCTCATTTTTGAGCCACTAGCTCCTACAGTTCCCTTTTTTTAATTCTGATTATAACAACAACTACTGGGGGAAGTTGAACTATTGAAGCCCCACCAAGTAGGACAGACTGACCGTTAGTAGTTCTCCATTTGAGAGCCCTGGATTTAGTTGGGATTTCTACCTTACAGGAAAATGCAGCTGACCTCTGTTCCTCTTAGAAACTTAAAGCAGTCTCCTCCCCTCCCACCCTCTCAGCCCCAGTTCTCCAATGGTGTTACCAGAAGTTGTGGAAATTAAATGACTCTTCATTACAAAAACATTGGCAACTTCTGCTATAAAAGATGCAGGTAACATTATATGGCCAAAACAGAATACCTAAGGTATTCTGGATCTTTGAGCTCTTGGGCAAGTGCACAAAGCAAGATATTAAGGGGTGTAATTGCATAGATGTCAAATACATAGTAGAATAAGTGTGTATGTGTATGTGTGTGTGTATATATATATATAATTTTTTTTTTTTTTACTGAGTTTAGTCATATTACCACTGGTTACACCTGGTAGGACATAGAACAAGAAAACCAGTTTTTTAAAAAAGTACAAAGTAGTTTGGGGAAGAAAAATAATTTTCCTTCTGCCTTTCTAGGTTCTTAACTAAGACACTCCACCCCCACCCCCACCATGTAATAAAAGGCAGATTTACAGGAAAAAACAAATGGAAGTTTAATAATGTGTACCTCCTGCTCACATGGGAGAGACCCAGGAAAACTGAGTAACTCCCCAAAGTCATCATCACCTTAAATACCATCTTCAGCTAATGATAAAAGCAAATGTAGAGGAGTAGGGGAGCCCACTGTGGGAGGGGACCAGGAAAGCAAAGTAAACAAAAGTAAAGATGTTATGCAGTTTCAAGTCCATGCCTCCTCCATTGAGAGGCATTTGCAGAGATGTAGTCATTCTCTTCTGGTACCAAGAGGGAGCTAGGAGCCACCCTTACAAGTGGAGAGTTCCCTTATAAATGCTAGGGTCTCTTACAAAAGAGTCACTTCTTGATTTTCAGAATGTTTTCATGTGTCTGCTGATTCTTACAAAGTAAATAGCCTAAAGTAATCCTTAAGCCAAAAAGTCATATTTTAGGGTGACAAATTCTGCTCCCATTCAGTAGTAAACTGCCTAAATGTATAGCATGGGAAAAAATCCTCACAACTCTGCAGTAATTAGAGGCTGGGGATCTTGACACTGGGGATAACATTTTGGTTATCTTCGAGCAGATGCAGACCTCTCACTGCTCTTGGGACTTTTTACACAGCCATAGAATCTCTAATTTAGAGAGAGGAAACCTGATAAAATAAAAATCTAAATTGACTACAGGACCCTCCCCTAGATTTTTTTGAGGCTCTTCATCCACTTTGAGTTGTCAGTTCATTTGACATATGAAAATACAGAAGTTAGAGTTCTTTCTCTGAGTTTCCTTGACTGCAGTCTTATTGATGGCTGTTTGAAACCTGTCATTAGAAAGTTCCTGATGTATCAGGCTATTACTGTATGTATAACTGATGAAAGCCGCTTTTGATCTGTCTATTGGCGTATGTTTCTTCCACCCATAATTTCTTCCAAATTACATGAGAGGT